AATAGGTCTTCAAAATCATGAGGGGATTTGATAGGTTAGAAAGGGAAAAACTGTTTCCACTGGTGGGTGTGTCAGTGACTCGAGGTCACAGATTCAAAATTTCAAAATAGTATCTAAAAGAAGCAGAGGGGAGGCGAGAAGAAATTTTTTCACGCAGCGAGTTGTTTGAATATGGAACGCATTGCCTGAAAGGTTGGTCGAGGCCGATTCGATAACTACTTTTAAAAACGCAGTGGACAGGTATTTGAGGAGGATGGGTTTGCAGGGTTATGGGGGAAGGGTTGGGGAGTGGGATTGACATTAATTGCTCTATTCAAAGAGCCGGCACAAACTCGATGGGCCGAATGGCCTCTTTTTGTGCTGTACAATTCTATGATTCTATGATTTGATTTAGTGCCTATAAAATCAAAACATAGGTAAGCAAAAGCAAGAAAACATATCAAAAGTGCTAAACAATAATTACTGTAGTGTCTGTATTTGTGGATGAATGCGGCAGCCAATTTGCACACAGCAATGTTCCACAAACAATCAGTGAATGAATAGCAAATTTCTGACTGGAATAGAAATAAGAGGCAGGGCAAAATTATAATCATAATAATCATCACAAATTGGTTACATAATATAGTTGAACAATTCAGCCATCGAATTTTTTTAAATAACCATGGCGCCCAATTTGTAATTTTCCTCATAATTTAATTATAAAATCTCTCAAGTACCAAATGTGCTGAAGAAACATTAAAACCAATGCCCCCTGCTAGATATCTCCTCATGCTTTGTGTATGTGTAGAATTCTTCTTCCTGGAAGAGAGTTTTAGAGGTGATCTAACATAATTTAAGTTAGAACCAAGAGGCAAAGTCAGGCAGACTTTATTTTATATATACAAAGAGTATTAAACTTATGGGATATATTACCAATCATGCCATGAATATTTTCAAGGAGCAAATTATATTCCGTTTGAAAGATTGGTCTGTTCTGGAATTTAAAATAATTCAATGTGAACCATCATGAGTTACCTGACGACACATGGAGTGAAACTATCATTCAAGTGGGGAAACAGTTCAAAAACTTGGGGGCATAGTGGCTGAAAATGCGACCGCTGATGGTGGAGCGGAAGGGAACAAGGGTCAAGCAGGAGGCCAGATCCAGCCAAGCAGAGGGTTTTGGAGTGGGAGAAAGCAGGTTAGAAAGGTAGGGAGATGCCAGGGCATGAATAAGTATAAAATCTAAGATGGATGAAAATATCGGGTGAAGAGATTAATAAATGGGGTATGGTCCTGAACTATACAACAACTTGCATTTACAGCACCAATGAGATACCAGGGCTGAGGTAAAGCCTTGTGAGGTTGCAGTAAAGGAGCTTCCATAGAAAAAAATATGGTTTACATCTAAGATGCTTTTGTTAACAGCCACACAATTGTGACGCTAGTAGAGAACCTTCTAAACCTCAGTCTCTTGACTGGTAGATGTTATAGATCAGTTAAAGTTCCCATTCCAAGTTCATTGATCTCTGCTCAAATTGCAGGGGAACATAGACAAATGAATGCATTATTCAGTCCATTTGAACCCTTTCCACCATTTTATTATGTTACAATAGATCTTTAAATCCAATTTCCCGACTGTTTTTCCATATTTCTTATCTCCAAGTACCTCCTTTCAATACATACTAATAGATTCAGTATCGAAGGACAGTGTATTCCCCATTCTCACCACCTTTATTGCATAAAGAAATGGTTCTGATCTCATTTCTACCTCTGATGATAATAATAATCCTTGCATTTGATACTGCAGATTTATTTTTACTGTGTAGTGACTACCTATTTGTAGACGAACATGGCAGCCAGTTTGCACACAACAATGTCCCACAAACAGTCAAGAAGTGAATGATCAATTTTATCGTGGGAGATTTTTGGCAGGACACCAGGAGAAAATCCTCTTTTCGACTAGTGCCATGGAATCTTTAACATTCACCTGAAGAGGGAGACGGGACCTTGGAATAGCATTTCATCAGAAGGACTGCATCTTCAAAAATACAACTATTTCAGTGTGAGGCGTCAATCCACATTGTAGCACAAGCCAATGACAATTTTTTGCTTTCTTCCCTTAGAAGATCAGGGATGAAAAAAAGATTGGGAGTCAGCTAATACAGCTGTCAGTGGCAATTAATAGGATCATTTTTATAATAATAATCCCTTTCATTTGATATAGTGCCATATCACATCTTCAAGACATCTCCAAGTGCTTCACAAAATATACTGTAAAGTGAATTGACTATTTTGTGGGCAATTTTTCTATAAGGAATGTGCAGCAATTTTCAATGTATTTCTATGAATAGGAATAACTCATTCTAAAAATAGGAACAATTCTCTTTTCACCAGAACAATTAGCATTTTTCAATTATATAATATTTTGAAGCCATAAAGGCTAAAAGGAGTTGCAGAGCTTGACATCTGACGTCCAATATATTTACAGAACAAGTGGTAATCTTTCAGGATCCAATGCCCACTGGTAAGACCCATTCAACAATTCTTCAGAAATGGTATAAAAGTAATACAACAGCAAAAAGTGAACTGGATAACAGGGGGAAAGTTAAAATGCAGCTGAATATTAAGATTCCATTGTAAGATGCGTTTTGAAATAATTAGCAGCTTTGATCTATCTACATCTCTACTACATCTTATTTTCATTTGTGCAACATTGTCAGTTCTTTTGTCATTTCATTACCTTAATTTGTAGAGCAGATTTTATAATTAAGTAATAAACGTATTAAATATAGAGTGGATGCTCAGAGTGTAACATTAAACAGAATACTCTGTTCAGGTAGACGTTAAGGATCCCATGGCACAATTCAAAAAGTGAAGGGAGTTTCTCCTGGTGTCCTGGCTAACAATCACCCAATTAAAATTGGTCAATGACTTCATGGCATGCAAATTGACTGCTATGTTTATCCACAAAATATACACTACATTTTACAGTATGAAAGCTCTATACCAAATGCAGGATTTAAAAAATATTATTATTTATCAAGTTTTCTCTTAAATACATTTTACATACATGATTTGATTCAACCAAAGCTTCTAGCAATCAGTTTTCACCACCCTCTGTTTGAAGAAATTCCTCCTAAGCTCCCTGTTAGATATAATACTTAGATCTACTACTTATGTTTATGTTTTGAACTCACCAACTCAGTGGAAACAGTTTATCATCATCCACCTTATCAAATTGCATTCATAATCTTAAACACCACTATCAGGTCTCCTCTCAAATGCCTCAACTCTGCAGAGATTCAGAAATTCAGTATCCCATGAAGCAACTTTCAAATGTCACACTCCTTTGCAACTACAAAGGCAATTGAAATCTTCAGAGTGGTTTTGGGCCCAACTATTGTACCAATGGCAAAGAGGATGGAGCAGGGATATGATTTCTTCTCCTCAGCCAGTCAGTAACTAGCTTGACTACAAATTTTGGCAATTTGATAATTATCACATACAGTATTTTAATTTGAAGCTGGTATTGTCGATGCCCTGTGTGCACAATCATTGCAATAGCCATTGATGCAAAATATACTAATATCAATTTGACAAATAGTATATTTTAATTTTTTTTAAACTGAAAGGTATGACTGGAATTCTTGCCCATCATTTCCTGGTAAAATTGTGTTTTGGTCACAATCAGAATACAATTTACTGTGGAAATTTACTAAAAGTCTAAATATCTATTTGAACATGCAATGCCAATTTGTTAAGTATACAATGGGTTAATCTAGCTCTTTGAAAACCTTATTCCACAAATGTTGGGACTGGCAAAATATACTTATTCACTGCAAGATAAAGAAATTCATGTCTCAGTGAGGACCTCACATTAGTGCGCGTTCTAAGGCTTTATTTATGGAGCTGGTGCAATAATAGTTGAGATTGCAGTGGTAGATGTGCATTGAGCAAAGGAAAATGTGGCCACTTTGCTTTGGATGCTACACCGGTATAAATGCTTCATTATCTCATCTTAAACAATACAATTTGTAATTATATGGAAAATGAAACACTGAATATTTCAAAGGGTGTTCGATTAGTATGTGTTCTTATCGTGTCAGTTTTTCATGATCATTTAGAATGTGAAGGACACTATTATAGTGTTCTACTCTTGTACAAGCTATTTACACGAGATCATACACTGCTAACTACTTTGGAAACAGAATAACAATTCCTGGGGTTGGGTGGCTGGTTGGCTAAAACCAACAGATGGGGTAACATTCTAACCGAGTCGAGACTTATTCCATTAACACAGCAATTCAGTTTTGACTTTGAAGCGAAATAAGTAGTTCTTGGAGGAACTTAGGGAAAAATGACTTCAAATGTGAACACTATATTTAAGAATGTGACAAATGCTGGACGCTCTGAAAAGTTAAGTTCATAGAGCAAATAAAACCGCAGATAGAATTTTTACCCAATGGCACGCTAATATTCAAACATGTTGAATGAGGGAAACATTTTCTTGGAGTATGAATGATAATCCTAAAGGGGGCGCTGTTTTATCTCTTCAGTATCAATTTGTTATGCCTCAAAAGGCCTCAGGACTACTGGTACAATTTTGAATTCTAACATTCACACAAACCACCTAATTCATAGTTCAACATATGGAAATGGGCACTTAGTAATGGTGGTGGGACGGAGGTGTGAGGTGGAAGTGGAGAAATACGAAGCCACATTTTCAAACTGGGGGAGCAAAAAATTCTCCCCCACTAAGATCTTACTCCTCAATGACCTAAGACACTTACGAACACAGGGAAAAAAAATTAATGAAATTGACATTTACATCAACATGTAGTGATACCATGTAAATAATCGGAAGGTGTTAACAATAAATGCCAAGTATTTTGCGTTGAATGTGAAATCATTTTGGCCTTTAGAAATTGTATGACTGAACAAAGAGCATCAAAAAAAATCCTGAAACAGACGATATACTTGAATGATGATTTCAGAGACTTTATGGGAGTAGCGAATACCTTCTCTGGAACAGTTCTGGCCACAAGCTGTCTGAAAAATATAGAACATCTCTCGAGCTTGCTTCCCACCTTGAAGGAGGGCAGACAGGAGCATAAAGAGGAAGGAAAGGAGGAAAGAACAGTGACAGGAAAAGAAAGGATTGAAGAAAAAGGACAACGATGGGAAACATTAGTTAGAAAAAGAGTTCAAGAAAAATTCGGATGCATTATTGCACAATAAAAGCATACTTCATATATGTATGAGTCTAACATTACAAGTCAGTTTCAAAATGATGTTCCACTGAATCACATCAACTTTAACGCAAAATTATATTCATTCAAAATGTATTTAGAGTTTCAGGCAAGATCCATAACTTATTTAACTGCTCAGTTATTGGCAGTATTACCAGAAAGTGAGTGCAAGGACCTGGATATTTCTCTGAAGAAGGATTTTGACTATTCAGAACTTCTCCTTAAGTTTAAATTACTTTTATTGGAGGCCGTTGGCCCTAAGTGGAAATTGGAAGTGCTACTGTGTTTTAAATTGATTTATCTCTATTTTGGGAGAATAGTATGACCACCTTACCGGCATACCTTAGGACTCCAAGATGATAACGCACACTTGCTAACCTAGATTATCGACTTGTTAACAATGCTTCTAAAAGTTATGGAAGGCAGCTCCTTCAGTTAATATTATTGATGACACAATCATCAGCAATGCAATTCAGCATGATGTGTCCATTCAAAATAGAGATAAATTAATCTGAAGCAAATGCAGAACTGTGGTGGTTAGCCAGGGCCATCAGTTTCAATGTGAATGGGACAAGCAGACTGTACATTTCCAGTCATCTGCAGCCTAGTCATAGAAGGGTAATAGACGCATGTCGCTCACATGTACGTCTTTTGTCCAACTGACCTGGAGGGACATGGACCAGCTGAATGAACAGGTTCATTAGTGCATGTAACGTGAGCAGAAAATTGCTCACTTTTCGTAAAGGTTCCCTGTTGTGGACCAAACGTATAATAATAATCCTTCCGTTTGATATAACATCTTACCACATATGTACTGTTTAAATAACAACAAAGCATACCACTTTGGTAAATAGAAGGTCTTTCTTCTCTGAATTTATAACCCGTTATCACCAATTAAGCAACTAAAAACCATGGCAAAATACATTGCGATGTGTTGTAGAATCACAGACTAGTCACAGAGTCTTTTATCAACTAAGAGCAGAATCTGTACACGATATGTCACGGCAAACAATTTTAAAAGTGCTGTTGTCAACATTGCTCCATTTTGATCTGCAACAGTAAATAAATGATTAATGAAACTTCATTAAAAGTACAGTGCAAAATAGAATAACTAGCCTCCAATTAACACAAACAGCCTGCTTTCTTTTGAAAACTTGTTTTTTTTCCAAAAAGACGTTATGACGTAATGTTGGAATAAGGTCGAATTGAATGTGAACATTTTATTTGCCTCACAGAATTGGGTCTAATTGGTGGTATTTCTTAATAGGATTTCTTGATAAGGAATATCTGTTGTGTAAATGGGGTGGGGGCTCCTTCTGGTAAACTGAAGTCCATCATACTAATCCACAAACACTTGACTCTGACGCCATCTACATCCGGAGCTTCATTCCACAGGTTCAATTGGAAGTCTATTGGAATTCCTTATTAAGGAATTTCATTAAGACATATCGCAAATTAGACCCCCAATATTTAATATAAAGATATGATCGTGGTTACTACAGTGCCATTTTCTGCTGGAAAAAAAACAATACTACAGACTGACTGTGGATAACTTGAGCCAAGCTATAGATCAATGCCTGAAACCTTGTTTGCTTAAACCATAATGGACCACGTGTTCAAATGATTCTTGGCACGTCTTGTTCATGGATTTAAAAAAAAAACAATGTTAGGTTTACTACCATTGTTGCACAGTGCCATGACGTGCCCTTCAATTAGTGAAAAGGCATTGACAATACAATTTTTAATGCACTCCTCGTGTCAAAGAAAGGATAGTGGCATTAATTTCTGAGATTTCTTTTTTGGGGGTGAAAAGAAGTTGATCTTTAGAATTCTGAATAGAAAATGGTGCAAGTTAAACGCAATGTAAACAGAGAAATAAAATAACAGCAAAATTGCGAGTGCAAAAAGTTGACAATTCTGACAGTGGGTCCATCGATTTCTAAAACTAGTCACGTTTCTGCTACTCTAATAATGGGGTTTCCCATTATAAAGACATAACAAACAGGTAACTATTTTCAGCGATTGGCGCAAGATAGACCCCTGTTTTCATTGTAAAGAGCAAATCACTGTGCACTTAAGGGGAGAAAAGTAACAAGGTTTAAATTCTTTCCATGCAAACATATTTTACTATGAATCCTAAACTACTGTCCGATAATGATCTGAGTGTCATAAAGAGGTAGCAAGGTTATGGAATTCAAATGCCACACAGTTAGGAATCGCTCTTTAAAAGGGTTGGACAGTGATTTATTGTATACCAGATCTAAATAGATTGATGTCCAATTCAGTGTGCCTTTTTGCAAACATCTCTGGCACAGCAATTTCAGCCTTTATTATTTCTCAGATCATTTGCACAATGCAGTTTATTCTTGCACTGATCAACAATACAAACGTGCTGAAACATATTTAATACAGACAACTCATAGCACTGAACAGTAACATGCAGTAGGATCATCAATATTCACATAACCTCAAAATCCACAAAATGCTTTAGTTAATGACTAAGAATAGCCATGCAAAATAGTTCCATCCTTTGAGTACAGTTCTATGAAAACATCAGTATACTTCACTATTACGTTAACCACCACTTTTCTCAAATTCAAATGGCAGTTTACTGGCTTTAATGCACATATTAAAGTCACTACACTTCATCTCTTCTTGGAGTCAGAATATACACTCAAATACTATTTTTGAAAGATTTCACATTTTTATTATTTGAAAACAATATTTTCACTTTAGCGAGTTTTTTTTAAATGTATACTCCAGTAAGTGATAGGAAATATCAGTACTCAGAGGATTCAACTGAACCTTAAATGTTGAGGACTTTATTGGTATTATTTTCTAATAGTTTCCAATAGTATTAAAGGGTGTGGGAGGAGGGAGTGGAAGATGTTCCAGAATACTGACAATGAACTCACCAACTATATCAAACCAAAGAGGGATGCTGTTTGGCTGTACTGTGACCACCCCTACAATTTCGGTCACTCTGTCATTTTCCATCACTGTGAAGTTGTAGAAGGGCTCGTCAAAGCTCAGAGGAATCTCAGACCGTTGCGGCTTCTTTATCCACTCAATGTGCAGACGTGCAGAGGAAGACTTCTGTGGTCTCCCATTGTCCACTGCCTTAATCTGAGGAGCAAAGATTAAATAAAAGTGTCAGACAACGAATACAATATATAGTAATTAAACAGCATTTCAGTAAAAGGCTACAGAATGAGTTTTTGAGGGAAATGCCTACCTTACGTTCAATTCACACACAGGTTCACAGCTGACTGGCAGTGACTGACAAAACTATAGTTCATACAACAGTACTGATGATGAACCTCAAGATAAAGGTCAAGAAGTTTATGGATGTTACGTCAATAATTGAATAACATTAAAGTTACTGTCAGACATTCATAATTGATGGTTTTGCTCTGTACAGTTTTGTGGTTGAACATATCAAGCACAAAACAATGGTGGCAAGGAAGGCAAAATGGAGTTCAGCGGGGAAAGATCGTAAGTCATGTATGTAATAATGGGATTATGTGAAGGACTGGTAAACCATCCACAGTGAAGGGTGGCTAAATTAATATATGGATTGGGCATTTTAACTTTAAGGAGATGGTAGAAATGAGGCACATTTAGATTGGAAAAGAGACATTGAAGAATTTAAATCTTCCAGTTTGTATACAGTAATAGATAAGCTAGACTGTCAATAACTCAAGAGTATTGTCAAGAGGTTCACTACACGGGTAGGTCGAAGTCTGAATCTGTGAAGGCTGGGCTATATATACTGTTGTGATTTAATGACTTTGCAAAGAAGGCCATCAGCATGCGCAATACTTTGACAAGGAGCCAATGAAGATGATACTAACAATGCTTACATTTGATACATTTTACGTTGGGAGTTCGTCTCGACATTCTTCGCAGAATACACTGTAAATTGGTGACTGTGCATTAAGTAGGTAAATGGCAGGATGCTGGCTTTCACCTATTTAATGGGATAAAACTGTATACAATTTACTTTGTAGTATAGTAAAACTGGAATAGTCTACACTATCAATGGATATTTTGTCTAACTGAAGCATTGAAGAAAACAGTTCTGCAAAGAATGCTATTATCCTAGAAGGGAAAAGTAGGCCATGTATTTAACATTAATAATGAGGAAATACTGAAAATTCATCACAGGGAAGAATAACAGTACACGGACAAGTACAAGTTGTTTAGAAACCTGATTGAATTTTTGAAAGGAAAATCCTGTCTGAGAAACCTCATAGAACTCGTTTTCAGAACTACAGAGGTAGTCAATAGACAGACAAATGGCTGAAGGCCCAATCACCAATGGTGGGCAGGGCAGGACAGAGGATGTAAAGCATGGCAGTGCGTCATGAGTGGAGGGAGTGGACACGTTGATAACTCTATCTTTCTGCCTCCACCCTCAACTCCAGGACCACTGCTGTCCTGACAGACTGCCTGTCGGACATCAAGTCCTGGATGAGGGCAAATTTCCTACAGTTGAATGTGAACAAGACTGAGGTCCTCCTGATTGGCTCACGCCAGCGCCTCAGCACCTCAGGCTCTGGCAGAATCAACCTCCATGGTTGAACACTTCAACTCACCAAGCCAGTCAGGAACGTAGGTGTCTTGCTCAACCCTCAACTGTCTTTTCTCCCCCACATTCAAACCATGACCCGCTCAGCCTTCCCTCACCTCCGTAACATCACCTGGCTCCACCACCATCTCACCCCTCAGGCTGCTGAAACTCTTGTTCGTGCCTTCATCCCTTCAGGCTCGACTATGCAAACGCCCTGCTTGTCGGCCTTCTCAACTCCTCCCTCCACAGGCTGCAGATAATCCAGAACTCTGCAGCCCGTGTCCTCTCCCGCACCAAACTCCGTGACCCCATCTCCCCCATTCTCGCCCGACTCCACTGGCTCCTATCCTTCAGAGAATCCAGTTCAAGATCCTGTCCTCACATACAAAGCCATCCATGGCCTCGCCCCACCCTACCTCTGTGACCTCCTAACCCCTTACCAACCCGCCCGTTCCGTCCGCTCCGCCGGCTCCAGCCCGCTCCACATCCCCCGACCCACCCGCTCCACCATTGGCGGGAGCCTTCAGCCACTTTGCCCCCAACATCTGGAATTCCATCCCCCAGTCACTCTGCCTCGCCCCCTAGGGTAGCGTGGGGCAAAACCATAGAGAAATTTAAAGGTGTGGATGAGGATCTTGAACTCAAAACTCTGGGGGATAATGTCTTAGAGTGGTATACAGTGATGGGGATAGATACAGAGTAGAGGAAGGGATGAAGGAAGAGGGAGATGACCGACCATTGGAGTGGTCGAAGATGCAGGACTTTAAGATAGATGGAGGTGGGGGGGGAGACATAAGGATAGAAGGAAGAAGCTCCAGACACTAGGGGTGTAGAATTTGAAAGCTTGGTCACCAAGAGAGGATGGGGAATGTGCAGCAAACCTGAGTTATCCGAGTGGAGGGAGTGAGCAGAGAAGATCAACGAGATGGGGAGGTGATAGGACAAGGATTTATAGGCAAGGATGAGGAATTTGAAATTGATTAAAATCGATATTGCAGGGACATACAAACATTTTGTGGCTCAATAAAAGCAGAAACAAAATCTTACAGTTAAGATGTCGTAATTTCCTGCTGAAAACTGTTTCCTGGAGGAAACCATGCCTGTTTTGGGGTCAATGAAAAACTTTCCATCATCATTTCCGTCCACAATGCTGTAGGAAATTTCTGCGTTGGCTCCTTTGTCCTTGTCGAACGCAAACACTCGATAAATTGGCTCACCGCGCTTCTTGCGTTCTCGCTCTGGAAGTTTGATTTGGTAAACCTTTTGAGGGAACAGTGGTTTGTTATCATTCTCATCCAACACATGGACCACCACCCAGACAGTCGATTGTTTTGGAGAGGAGCTGCCATCTGTCACCGTCACCTGTAGGATATTAATAAAATAGCATTAGCAGTCAGGACTCCATTCTTTCCATTTCTCCCACCAATTATACCTCAAAGCATATTTGAATTTCAAGCCATTCTTTCCATTCATGTCATTTCTTTTTTCCGGAGCAATAGCTTCCCTTTCTTCTGCATTGCAGATTGACAGCTAATCACCCCATCCCTCCCGAACAGACACTTTTTTGGGGACTGACAGAAAAGAGAATTATAAAGTCAATGGAAATTACACTTAGCAATGGACAAATTCAGCACCAACAAATTGAAAACATCACAGGGCAATGCTGCATATAGGTAAAACTGAGCTGATTCATTAAAATAGACATTTTAACAAGCAAGATGTTACAAACAATGATAGATGGACACACACACACAGAATGCTGCCGTTTGTCAGATCAGTTTTGGTTCTCTGTTCTAATGAGTTACAATGTTGTATCAGAGACAGTGAGCGCTGTATTGTAGCAGCAGTGAAGGTTTCAACAAGTACTTAGAAACTTTTGTCTGTTTTGAAACCCCAACTGTAGCTTTGCTTTGAAATCAGTTGGTATTTTATGGCCCAGCATGTTCCAACCTAGTACGATTTTTGCAGCAGCCAATCGATAATACTCCACAGTGCTTCAAAAGTTGCAAATCCCAAACAGTCAAAAGGTCTGAGATATCTTGGAGAGTGCTCTCATATCACATTGACTGTGGGTGACTGCAGCTGATGTGAAGTGAACTTCATAAACTTAATTTACGTTTATCACATTCCTAGGTGGGCTATTGGACTGCCCCCATGGACTGTAACATCAGCTAGACTCTTGGGCAGCAAAAAACAAATTAATCTTCTCATTGGGGATTATATTTCAGGGCAAAGGAAACACATTTCTGCACAGGTTCACTTGCCTCCCATCATATTTATAGCGTCCTAGTTTCCCACCAAATCAACTACTTTCATGAATAACTATGAATTGACAACAACAACAATATAGTGCCCTCCACGCAGGGTGGCATCTCAAAGCGCTTAACAGTGGCGGGGCCTGACTCCGAGCCAGGGGGAGGGGGGAGGTAGCTGTAAGCACGGTCGAACAGGAAAGTTTTCAGGTAGGACTTGAAAGAGGGGAGAGCGGGGGCAAGGTGGAGGAATTGAGGGAGTGCGTTTCAGAGTTTTGGGGTGTAGTGGCTGAAAGCAGGACCTTCGATGGGGGGCAGAGGCCGGTGCCAGTCGAGCGGACGTGGTGGTTTGGGGAGCGAGGAGGTCGGAGAGGTAGGGAGGTGCCAGGGAGTGAATGGATTCGAACATGAGTGTGAGGATCTTGAAGTCGATCCGTTCGGTGATGGGGAGCCAGTGGAGCCTGGACAGAACCGGTGAGTTGTGGGTACGGAGTTTGGTCCGGGTCAGTATGCGGGCGGCAGAGTTTTGAATGAGCTGGATCTTGTGATGGTGGAGCTGTGGAGAGCAGTGAGGAGTGCATTGGAGTAATCCAAGCGGGAGGTGACAACTGCATGCACAAGAGTTTTGGCTGTATTTGGGGTAAGGTACGGTCCGAGGCGAGCAATGTGGCAGAGGTGGAAGAAGGCGGTCCTGGTCAAGGACTGGATGTGGGGGAGGAAGGACAGTTGGAGGTCAAACTGGATGCCAAGGTTGTGCACTGGTCTGGTAAGTCTGAGGGAGAGTCCAGGGAGGTTAAGAAGTTTAGATCCACAGGAGTGAAGACTTTGACGGGAGCCAAGCAGTATGGTTTCCATCTTGTCCATATTCAGTTGCAGGAAGTTTACACTCATACAGGCCTTAATATCTGCCACACAAGCTGATAAAACATCGGTGGACCTGGAGTTGGTACTGGAGGAGGCAAAGTAGAATTGCGTGTCATCGTGTTTACAGACGACATTGTGTCTACAGATGACATCGCCCAGATGGAGCATATAGATAAGGAAAAGAAGAGGGCCAAGAATGGAGCCCTGGGGTACCCCAACAGGTAACTGGACGGAGGCGGGAGGAGAAACCATGTGTTGAGATGAATTGGAGGCAGTTGGTTAAGTAGATAAGATATCTTATACAAAGATATAATGCTCTTCTTTTATTGCAAGTTATTTCAGAGCTGTTTTAGAACCAGCTAAGTCAATCAAGGACAGAGAACCAGGTAGCAGCAGCAGCAGCAACAACAACAAATTACATTTTTATAGAGTCTTTCACATCAGGAGGATATCCCAAGGTGCTGGACAGTCAGGGATCCGCACACAAGCTAGTGGTTTGGATCGGGAGGGTTGGAGGGCAGGGAGGGTAAGGGTAAGAGAGTGACCGAAGGCACGGTCGAAGAGGAGCAGGGTGTGACATTTCCCTTGCTGGTCTTGGGGCTGTTCTCTAATTTGAGTGATGGTAGAGCTATTGAAGCGCCCTTAGAAGCAATGACAGCATATTATTTACATTGTAAATGCTTCTGCTCAAGACCTAGCTGATGTCAAATAGTGCTGTCCTTCGGATAAGATGTTAAAAAGCCATGGTACCATTTAAAAAGAGACAGGAATTTCTTCTGGTATCCTGGTTAACAATTTCCCAAATAAAACTGGTCATTCATTTCACGGCTGTTTGTGGGACACTGCTGTGCGCAACTCAGCTGCTGCTTTTTAACTCCAAGTAGTCACTACACTTCATAGGATAACCTTAAAATGCTTTGATATATCCTCCCATTGAGAATAAAGACATTATATTAAATGCAAAGATTATTCTTATTTATAGGATGTTAATGTGTTTGTGCAGGAAGTAAAGGGTACATCCTGTGAGGAGGAGGATTGTGATAGATATTTACGAATATTGTAGGCTAGCAACCAATAGCGTCAAAATTGATGGTGGCTTAATTGCATTAAAATTATTTTTGAACGATCAATTACATTTTTATGCTGAGACAGCCAAGGAATAGGTTGGATTTATCACCGACAAGAGTTCTCGATGCTACTAATGCTCAGTAATATGTTGCTATTGGTTGCCGAATGCCAGTATTCATATTGTACCAGAGGTTGACCACACTATGTAGGTCAATGTAAAGCTCAGCAAGTTCCATTTACCAAATTCGGAAGATTTCACCATTTGTTCTAAATGTATATTTCTCAATCATAGTAATAATAGTAGTATTTGATGTAGAACTTTATAATGTTAGAGAAACTTATCAAAGTGCTTCACAGGATTTACTGTCAAGTGAGAACTGTATATTTTGTAGGTGAACACAGCAGCCAATTTGTCTACAGCAATGTCTGACAACCAGCCTTGAAATGAATGATTAATTTTATCAGGGGGATTGTTAGTCAGGACAACAACTTTCATTTATATAGTGTCCTTCACACAGGATAACATCTCGGAGTGCTTAACACCAGGAGAAACTCCCTTCTCTTTTTGATTAGTACTATAGGATCTTTAGTTTCCACCTAAACAAACAGACACTGCCTCAGTCTCATCTGAAGGACAGCACCTCCATCAATGCAGCAGACTTCCAGCACTGCACTGAATTATTCTCCTAGACAAAAATGCTTTGAGACATTCTCCCAATGTGAAAAGTGTTATATAAATAATATTGTATTCTGTGAGCTCAAACTCCCAACATGGAGCTTGAACCCACAATCTTCTGACTCAGAGGTGAGAATGCTACTTACTGAGCCAGGCTGAAAACCATCATACCAAAATAGAAGGAAAGTTATTATTCTTAAGTAGGCCTGGAGATCCCACATGGCTGCTTTCTAACCCTTAAAAAGTAGGAATTATAGAAATACTAAACAATTTTATTCAGTTGGTCAGATGGGAGGGAAAAGAACATTTTAGATTGTTACCATCATTTGAGATGGTTCCATAAATTACCATCAGATTATTTCTCCAAAGCATTACTTTTCCATGAACTCTTCTTTTTGTCATCAACAGTATCAATTTCCCAGCCGTTAATGCTTTCAGTGGTTGTAGGCATTGCTCCAGATTGCCTGCGCTTGCATCAGTTTACATTTCCTACTTGTTTGGGCAACTGCATAGCTGAATCACTGCTGATGTCAGGCACTCAGACCAAAATGTCATATTTCTCTAGTTCTCTGGTTAAGGCATACTGTGCTCAGATACATAGTGTAATAGACATGCAATGCTAAGATCAAGGCAGTAATTGAATCAAGGGCTTCGAAGAAGGTCACACACCACATCGCTGAAGATCAAGCGAGTTTCAGTGACATAAGAAACCCGAGATTCCGTAATTGTGTACATATTCATCACTGAAGTTCATTTCAAACAGAGCTTCCCTTTTGCAAAGGAAAAGTAATAATGGCTTGGGAGATAAAAAAATGCTTTGTTTAAAAAAAATCAGTTCAATAGATTTGAAAAAATATATTGTGGGAATCGAAAGTCATTACAACAATATCTAAGCAAGAAGGCAAGCAATATTTTCTTTATCCTCTAGCTGCCTGAGGTCTGAGAAATACGCTTCAACTGTAATAATCCCAAATGTATTAATTGTGGCGTGACTAGATTCAGCTCCGTCTGTCAAAGACACAGACTCTGCCAATTCACTACTTTACCCTGATTTTCTACACTTTACATTAAATGGGCTGTCATTTTGCAGTAGACCGGGGGCAAAGGTCTGCACCCTATCTATCATCTCTGGATCCAAGGTTCACGTTCAGGCCATACTGAAGGAATAAATGTCTCTTAGTTTGTGAATTTTTCGCCTTGTTCTCTTTTGTGTACAGGTACACCCTGCAAAGCTGTCCTGAGCTCAGAGTTAACTGGGCAATCTCATGCAGAGAGCCATAGGTGTGTTCGATAACCATACAGCAAACACCACTGATATAATAAAGAGTGTGTCACTGCTGTTCGCTTAAGGCACATTCCTGGAGCACAGTGGAGAGGAACCTTTCTCTGCATCTGGCCAGAACTACACAGGAAATTTGGTTTGCTCAATGCTGACATTCAAAGGCAAAAATAAAATTGCAGAATTTCATTTGTTTCCCAGCATTGATATCTCACCCCAACAA